GTGCCACGCTAGTAGTAACAGGTGCCTTACTAGTAGTAACAAGAAGCTATTAGATCAGAAGAGCAAATTAGGCAAAAGCTTGGCGTTGCACTCGTGATCTTTACTTCTTCAAGATCTATATGAGCATTATAGGTGTCTCTTACAGCGGTTTCTGAGTAGATGGCACAATCCCCAAAAGGTGGTTTTATATGGACCCCATCTAAAAAACCTATTGGGGTTTGTGCCATCTACTCTGAAACTAGTGTAACCATCTTAACTTAATCTCACACAGACATCAAAGGAGAGGTTTGGAATTGTAAACAGACTATAGTCAATAAATGTATCTGGAACAGTCTGATAGTCTGATCTGGGTGAAAAGTACCGCATTGCACTGTTGTGTAGGCCGGAAATGCCTGAGCGCTTCATGTCCGAAGACATTAGGATCTTAAAGAGGAGAAGAAAACATAAAGTAAGGCTCCTTCCAAAAAGACATGAAGCTTTAGCTTGTTTCCTTTTGTTAGAACCACAGAAGTGATCGTCATCCCTTTCATCCTGTGACCTGTGGGGACTTCATTGGGCTCTCTAGAGACTAGTGATCCAAAAAAACGAAATATCATGTCGAATGGTCGTCTGGGGTGTCGATTGGGTCGGAGTGGTTTTTCGGGGGGAACGAGTTAGTCCAAACATGAGCTGCGCTTCATTAGAGTTCTTGAGTTCTTGTGTAGACTTCGCACGTCAAGACTAGCCTTAATATAGGGTCTATGCTGGAGTCATAATTTGGCATTAATGCTGGGCGGTGTAATGCGTAGGAAGTGAGTCGGAAGTGAGGATGGGATGGAAGTGCACCATCGATTCCTCGTCGCCCTCGATTTGGTCTGGAAATGTTCACCTGTTTTCGAATTTCTTGTTCCTAATAGCAAACATTGTTACTACTAGTAAGGCCAGGAGCCCCTAGTAGCTTCTTGCTCCTAGTAGTAAGGCACCTGTTTCTACTAGCTTCTTGTTACTACTAGTAAGGCACTTGTTACTAGTAGCGATGCACTTGTTACTAATAGCTTCTTGTTAGGTTATGCGAATTAAGTGTATGCTGAACTGCTGGCCGTCTTCCAGGTCACAAGTACCAGGATTGTTACCCCACTTTGAATTTTGGACAGTGGAGTTGACAGTATTCATGTGAGCCCAGGTTGTCACTTAGCAGAATGAACCGCTGACCATTCAGGCTTTAGGAGGTTTATCTGGTATGCACCAGTGACGTCGTATGCAAATTTATTGAGCGCTGTGCTGGATAGTCTCTGAATTGACGTGGTTGTGTGCTCACCAAGTGGTTGATCAGCAGCCCCGTTGTAATGCGAGCTTTGAGAATAAACATTTATTTGTATAATTCACCCTCACCTCCAGACATCTTTTATTACCTGTCCAAAAACTGATGCGCTCGCAAAGGGGGTCCTCTTCAAAGTCTTCATTCAGAACCCTCTAAAAGTTATATAATTGCTGACGATCTTCAAGGGATGCCGAATGAAGAGATTCCTCCCCGTGAAGAGATTAAAGTTGCAGTCTTGGAGACCACTTTGCCAGATTCCCAGATCCAGGTTGTTTGGGAGGTGGCTTTCCTCATTGTTTGGCCCCAGGACCTTGATCCGGTGATCCAATTAACTCACCATGCAGCATCCAACTTTGATACGATTTCCTTGAGGGTGAGGTTGAACATCTTTAGTCCCCATCTTCGTTAAGTACGTTGCCAAAGCTCCCGCTGCGCCACAAAAGTTTGATGTCAAAGATGGGTTGCTATACCAAATGACTGGACAGGATATTGTTGTGTCTCTGAAAGGTAGTGCGTTGCTATAGGGCAAAAGTGCTTCTCTGGACCGATGAGGGCCTTTGTAGCATCGCAATGCAGTTTCTGGAAATGGAATTCAGGTATTGATTCCAACTCTGCTGCAAAATATGCATTTGCCAAATAATCTCAAGTAGCAAAATAAACCCTTTGGGCGTTGGTTTTTATATCGACTGGAATACTTCGAAGTCCATTATAGCGCTGTTGCGCTGTATACATTTGTTCCATGATGGTTTGCTATTGACCTACACTTCCTGCACATGCCAGGCTGCATCAATCAAGTCGAAGACCTCTTTCCTGGGTGCAAGAGCGCGACCGCTGAGAAATTATCTGTTCATTTGGCCCTCTTGATCTAAGCTGCCAGAACCTTCTGAACAGACCTAAACATTTTTTTTGAACTCGCATTCATTGATGACACATGATCCACGGAACGCACAAAATATATCGTAGTAGAGCCACAGCATCTCGTCGTCGACGTCATAGCCCAAGGATGCGCAGGCCCTGAGGCAGTTTGGGAAACAGTCCATCGGGTTCTCTTAGATCGTCTTTCAAGAATCTTCAATTCATCCGGTCTCCAAAAGTGAGCAAGAACATTGGCGAGAAAAGACATGCAAGGTGATGGCTTGGGTATGCCAAGGCTCGATTTGAACTCTGTGAAGGAGACTTTGCCGCTGCCATTTTCTGGCGCAGAAAAGACTACAAAAAAAGTCTGACAGCGAAAAAAGTGTCGAAAAAAGTCTGAGACACTGCAGGAGACTCCACAGATCTTGAACAGGTGAGAGCTACAGCGAATAAAATGGTGTCTTTCTCAAAGTCTTGTCATACACAGAAATCTGCAAAGTCTATGACATATTGTTTTCAAAGCCAAGGAGCCATCCATCTTCTTGAAAATGTCCTTAGGTTGCTAAGTGTCGAAACAAACGAGAAGAGAGGAGACACAAAGGAGGAGAAGGAACAGAGTAAACCACAAAAACATTATATAGATGTTCCTTATAACTTAAAATCTAGGAACCACGTCATTAGTGCGTGAGCTATCCTGCGTCCAGTAGGTAGTTACTTAGTAGCTTCGCTTCCCTAAGCTACTAGCTACCTCTTCCTCTTAGCGGCCTATCCCCCGGGCTGAAAAAAACAAAAAAGGAATATGCCAAAATGCAAGTCAGGTCTCTTTTAGTTTTGCGGGCTTGTCACCTCGGCGCAGTTTTGAATTTAAATCTCACACTTCCAATCTCCACACCTCAAGGACTTGCTTGTGCAATACTAAGCACTCTGATCTTTGGGAGGTCGTTGTCAACAAAAAGAATTACATTCTTTCCTGTTGTGCTGCTGTTGCGCCTTCTTTTTCGGGCGGAGCATCCTTGAGTTCCTGGACGAATTCCATGAACTCGGTCATCGCCTGGAAGTTCTAGATTAAATCAAGCACATTGTAACGTTTGATGACATGTATTCGGTTGTGTGGTTTGCATGTAAAAGCAAAGGCACTGGAGTTGCCTCAGAATCTGGAAACGATTCTTTTTTCCGGCGTGGGTTCTTCTGCGTCGAGCGACGAGTAGCTTCATGTTTACTGCTCAACACGTGTCAAAGAACAAAACAACACCATAATATCACAGATCAAATCATGTTTCGCCTGACATGCTTTCTATCATGTTGTTTCCGCCTCTGCAGGTGTGGAAGGACCTCCAAAGACTTTCTTCGTGATGACCGTCGCCTGCAATGTTCCACGAGTGTTCAACGAAAGGAAAACCGTCGACAGGAACTGAAAGACCGCTATGCGGACTCATACGGACTCATAGAGGCTAGTAGCCTCTTGTTACTATCGAAACTTCGGTTTGGCAACCGACTTCACCTCTGAGGAGCCATGGAAGAGCCATCGAATGAACTCGGTGTAGGACACCCGGTCATCGCTATTGGTATCCTGCAAGGTGAAAACAAGAACAAGACGCAGTTGAACAATGTTGAACAGCTATTCAAGCAAAGCAGCCATGATCTTGTAGATCTTATTGACCTTGTAAGTTCAAAGTTGAGCGATTGAAGAGATACAAACTGCATCGGTGCAAAGTGCATTGACCTTCTGATGCTGGCTTCTCTACTGCGGAATGCAGGGTCCAGAGCTGGCCTTGCAGTAGGCCCTTTATTACTCTGTCTTCCTTTGTGGTTGAAGGCAGGCATGCTGCCAAGGTACATCTGCATTCTTCAAGCCAACACCGCACAAGGCACGGCGAAGCTCATCAGTGCTCAAAGTACCTTCCAATAACTCTTGCTAAAGCCAGCCCTCACACACGATGAACACCGCTCTATCGGCACCATCGCAGTTGGAGTCGAACTTGTTGAACAAAGCTTGAAGGCTCTCCTGAGTAACGAAAACATGCGACCTGCGATGGCTTGTTGGCCCAAGAGCAACATCTGTTTGCACCAAATTCTTCAACTGGCCTTCTGTGCCCATTCTTCCACGGTGCTCATTGCCTCCAAAGTGAAAGTTCTATTGCAGAAAAAATTTGCAATGGGAGAGATTCAATCTTCATTTAGCATCAGCAAAGCCGGTAGATACCAGTAGCCAAGAAGCCTTGGGCTTGTTGCACAGGAGCTTTGTACAGACCAACTTGAGCCCTTTGATAGAAAGCAAACGAGTCACACAGTCTCATAAGCAAACTTCTGAAGCCAATTCTGACTCGTCCCTGATGTTCGCTTCACATGCAGAGTTGAAAGGTAGAGAAATGCAGATTTGACTCAGTGTCAGGTTCTCACATATCAGATTAAATGCAAAGAGTTGCCCGCTGTGTTTTGACCTCGCAGTCTCTCACTTCCAGAACTGCCACCTGAGATAGAAGTGTCAAAAGGTGTTTTTAGATTTGTCCAAAATGGATCAGCAAAGCAAAGGCACCAGGATCTTCTTGGTAGCACTCGAATGTTGAGCGCTTCGCCTTGAAGTGACCAAAAACCATCTGGGATCGTTCGAGAATTCGTTTGAGATCGTTTCATCAATCCCAATATTTCAGGAGCGGTGAAAGGGATTAAATCAACATCTTGGCCAAGACAAGTAGTGTTGTTGTTCTTGTTCGCCAAACTTTGTTGTTAAAGAACAGCCGCTAAGGTCTACGAAGTGTCTCTTTAGATGTCATGGCGACTATGGCCAGAACTGGCAGTGGAAAGACGGGGTGGCAGCCTCCAAACTCTGAGGCAGTGCCAGCGAATATATCTTTCGGTTTTCGGGAGGGATAAATGATGAAGTTCCCTTTATTGATTTGCTCCTGGAGAGGAATCCATGCAAGAATAAAGAATGATGAGTGATGAGTGCTGAATCTGTGACATGGGAACGATGGGAATCATGAGAACTAACGGTGGCCAGAAGCCAACAAGTTGTGCATGTATTTGAAATTTAGAACTTTCCGGTTTGACATTAGAGGAAAGGAGGTGGTTGTATGCAGCATGTGCCACATCCATCAGGATGCCTTGCCTGTGGCCCAGAGAAGTTGAGCGGGCAGTATGATTTTTTGCTGCAAGTTCAGCCAATACCCAGACCCTTGCTCCATAGGCTGTGCCGAGTGGCAACCATGGTCACTAGGCCATTGTCCTGTAGCTTCACAATTCTTGTGGGATTCCAAAATGGCTCCTCAGATTCTTGCCAAGTCAGGTCTTTAATAGAGAATGTGTGTATATATATATACACATAAATGATTACAATGCTCTCTGAAACATTTATTGATGCTGCGATTGCTTTTTGTTCTCAACATGTGAACACACTCAAAAGCCTAGGGCCTAGTGAAAAAACTTGCACGGTTTTACAAAACTTTGGCAAAGTTTATTCTTCCTGACCAACCACTGTCACACGGCTGTCATGAATACACTTACACTTTTAATTTATGCAAGTTCGCTCTTGGAAAATGTCTGCTCTTCACGTGTTTGGCGACAAGGTCGTCCGTCTGGCTTTGGTTGTGTCAATGTGCAACTTGTTCGTTGATTGTTTGATGAAAGAAACAATTGTGTGTGTGGGCCTAGCACGGTGGGGCTGGTCTTGGCCTGCTGAAAACGCCAAGCAGCTTCTAGAGGCATCATCGAAGGAAAGTTGAGCCTCATAGTCCTGCTGAGTAGCGGAATTTGAATTGTTGATTGCCTTTCAAGCCTCTTGTACATGTAAAAATCAGTTCCTCGCGCCTACCCAGAAGTCCTGTGAACGCTCCCGCACCCAGATGTAATCAATCTTTAAGCCTTCCATAGCTGCTCTCACATGTTTTCATATCTGCATCTGGGCAGGAAAAACAAGAGCCCTCACCTTGGCCTGGGGTTTGAGCCTCCAAAGCAAAACTTGAAAGCATGCAACTAAACTGTACACGGCTACAGTATGCTACAGTACCATTGCTTACCTAAACCTATTTCTGCAAACCCGCTCTTCAGGCCTGTTTGTTGCCTGGCCTGGAGACCTGAGGGAGGTCGGGCGACCGTCGCAGGGTCACATACCTGAGATCCATTCCATAAAAAGAGTAATGTTTGCCTAGGGCCTAGCTGCTTAGAAAATTGCAAAAAACAAAGAAAACCAACCGTTTGTTGCAAACTCTTCATGCCTGCTTTGGTCACAAGGCTCGTTTGACTGCAAACTAAGCCTCAGGCTGTCCTTTAAATGGGCAAAAGACAGCACCTACGAAGATTCTACACATGATGCCTTCCATTTCCAACAGAGCCCGATCGACACAAGAGAGGGGAATTGCTTTGCTAAAAAGCACTGGGTGCCTCAGCCTATTCACCCAATAGAATCCCAAGAGTATTCTTGCTAAAGCAGGCTAAGCAGGAACAGGTTGAAGGAATTCTGGTTTCAAAGACATGCGTCATGCTACCATACTCTGCCGCCTTCGCTTCTCTCCTCAAAGTCTTCATTGAAATCAGCCTTGGATCAAAATCAGACGATGCCAAAACCATACGTACATATTGTGTGCAGTGTCTTTTATCCAACTCACTCGTTGCTCTTGAGTCTTTCAGCGTCGCATTCAAAGGAACTGTTATGACCTCAATTTGTGCATCACCCTCCGCTCCGAAAGCAGCGAAGGCATCGAGCTGCTTTTGGTTGCCGCCTCAACCGTTCATGAGGAAAACGCCAGCAAAATTAACTGTTCACTTTGAGCTTTCCGGAAAGCAAGGCCTCTCATATGGCCATTGACCACCCGAACTCGAGCACCGCTTTTGGCGAGCTGAAAATTCACACCTGTCAAGGGTACACGCAGGTATACAATCTTTGGAGCTTTCTGCAACTAGTGTGTGCACATATGTAGAGCGGTGTAGCCTAGCGCAAAAATGGACGGCGCAAAAGCTCTCTCTCTCTCAAGCTTGCAGCCGGCCCATCCCCACCATCATACCCATAATGCCCGCAATGCCCATGCCTCCAAAGATCACTTTGCCTTCACAAAGATCTTTCAACTAGCTTCGTGGAGGCTACTCTGCCTGGTCAAACAAGAGATCTCCACCCTCTGCCTTTGAAGTCGCATTGTGACCAAGAAGGAGAAGCACAAGTGCATGAGGTCTTCACCGCTATGAGAAGACCTGAGCGAACCATATCAGGCTGGCAGGGTTCAGGTCAAGTATGATCAAGGCTGTTTTAAACTGCTCAAAACTTCTCTTTTCTTGTGGCAGCTTCTCTTTGTATCCATTTCCTTTTCCGAACCAAAGACAAGTTCCAACTCCGGCTGAGCTGCCGTCTGGTGGACGTCCTTCTTCCGGATGCTTGAAGTAATGCGATGTGTACTCGGGCCCAAGATCCTTGTGAGGAGCAGGGTAAGCATTGGATGTCTTAGCAAGCAGCAACTCTGTTGCTGGAAGATTGTTTGCCGAAACCAACAGGTTGACTCCAAGCCGACATCTGACATCAGCTCAGTCACAGCCACGATCCTCACAGCCGAATTTGTTCTAGATATGGTCTAGATATAGTCATTTGTGAGAAACTGCGAATTGGGCAACAAATAGGAACAAGAAGCTACTAGGGGCTCCTGGCCTTTCTACTAGGAGCAAGGACGCTACTAGGGGCTCCTGGCATCGCTACTAGTAGCAAGAAGCTACTAGGAACATAAATTCAGTGCAAATATTGGTAGATCAATTCAGTGCAAAGAATCCACTGTGAGGCTCTGACCTTTCAACATCAGTCTTTTCCACCTCCTGAAGGCAAATCACATCAAGCTGCGCTCGCCTTAGAATGTCCTTAGCCCGCCCAGAAATGGATGTGGAGAAGCTTCTGTTTCTCAATTCAACAAAGTGTCTCTCATCACAGGCCACCTCAAAGACCTGCCGTCACGGACTGTCCTTTTTTTGGTTTTAGTATTTTTGTTTGCCCCCTCCTACTTAATCAAGTAGGCGCCTACTTACTTAAAGGGGACTATATAGCTCGCTACAAGTCTAAGTTAGCTTCTAGGTACGCAGGATGGCTCACGCACTGATGATTTGGTTCCAACTCGAATTGCCACTGGCGAACCAATTCGAATTGCCATTGGCGTCCATGCCCTGCAGCTCCTCATCAGCACTAAATGCAAAAACCACGTTCTTCACTCGCAGGCTCTCGAAAACCCGTCCTTCCATTTGAGAGCATAGGTCGTGCATAACCTGCAGATTCTGTGAATAGGTCGAGTTCCTAGAGTTCCTTGGGCTATCGGACTCTTGCTGAGGGGGAGGCACGTTGTATGAACCTCAAGGAGCAAAAAATATATAGAAAGAAAAGTTTCTTTGTCGCATTGATCGAAAGTTTGGCCGTCAGGCAGAGTCATTTCACTCATTGGGTCTCTCCTCTTAGCTCCTTCCTCCTCAGATCCCCGAAAGGGTCCCAATGGCCTCCCCCCATATGTCTGTTGAGGTTTCGTTAAGGTCAAATGCAGAAAAGTTGCAGAAGGTTCCCGCATACGCTCCAAAAATAAAGAACTGACCTTTTAGTAGGTTCCCATAGATTGTGAAACTATGTGAATCTTTTGGATATGTCCTAGCCTGTTGAGGTTTTGTGAAGGTCAGCCATTCAAAGCTTTTGATTTTCTTGATCATGCCAAGGTTTTGCAACTGCAAGTGAAGGTCAGCCATTAAAAACTCAATGTTCCGCTCGCCTTGCTTAACGAGTTCTTGGCACTTGTTGAGTCTATTGATTTTGAAGATCTGGAATTCATAGTGAGCTACTTCCTGAAGCATTGTGAGCATATTTCCTGAGCATCAAACCCACAGTGAAGCTAGGCGCAGTCTCGCAGTGCACTTGATTGTAACTGCCACACAAATGTCTTTCACAGCAAACTTTAAGCGGTTGTCTGGTAGGCCTTGACCATCCCAAGCATCCACAAGCAAGTGCTGGGGTTGCTCGGCCTGCTCGAGGTCTGAGCCCACAGGTCATATCCACAAAGACACAGCAGAAAGGAGGGCCCTCAAGATTGAACTGCAACATTCTGCAACCAGGACACGATGAACGGCACGCCCTTTTCTTTTGGAACGTGGCGAAAGAAACGTTGCAGAATCGGAGATTGAAGCACTCCGTGCCTAAACGCCTGGCCCACATGGCCTGCAATCGGCCTGCAATTGTTGAACTGCTTCAATGGTAAGCCGCTTAGCCCGGCCAATGCAGTGCTTTAAACCTGGCGACCCATGCTTCTTTATCTTCCGTGCTTTGGTAACTCTGTCAGTGGGTTTCGTCGAGGCTTGCAAGTCTGTTGACTCCAAGAGCAGTTCCAAGCAGGTATCTGATGTATTCTTATGTTCTGAGGAGCTCTGCATTTTCATCTTGCATGATGATGCATTCTTTACTGATTCACCGCTGGAGCCTAGGAATCAGGCTGCAAGAGTGAAGACAAAAAAAAGGTAACAAGAAGCTACTAGGAGCAAGGGGCATCGCTACTAGTAACAAGTGCCTTACTAGTAGTAACAAGAAGCTACTAGTA